GTTAATTTCTATTTATAGTAGAGACGGGATCTTGCTCAGGCTGGTTTCAAACTACTGACCTCGGGCAATCGCTTGCCTCGGCCTCCCAGAGTGCTAGGATGACAGGCGTGAGCCACCGCGCCCGGCAGACACATTGACATTTTTGAAGAGGAGTCAGACCTATCATTTTTTTTTTTTTTTTTTTGGTAACAGCTTTATTGAGCTATAATTCAGACACCGTGCGAATCATTCATTGAAAGTTCATAGTGTTGTATAACTGTCATACGATCTACGATCAATTTTAGAATATTTTCATCACCCCAAAAAGAAACCCTGTACCCATTGGCAGCCATTCCCCGTTTTCCATCGGCCCCCACCTTCAGCCCTAGGCGAGCACTGATGTACTTTCTGTCTCTGTGGATTTGCCTCTTCAGGATGTTTCATATAAACGGAATCATACGATGTGGTCCTTAGTGACTGGCTTCGTTTGCACAGCATCGTGTCTTCTAGGCTTATCTGTCCGTGTTGTAGCATGTATCACAACTTCCTTCCTTTTTGTGTCTTTTTGTTTATCCAATTATCTGTTGATGGACATTTGGGCTGTTGCCACTTTTGTCTGTTGTGAGTAACGCTGCGATGAACATCCATGCACAAATTTTGGTGTGGACGAGTTTTTAGTTTTTTGGGGTATATACCTAGGAGTGCAAATTGCTCGGTCCTATGGGGACTTTTTGTCGAACATTTCGAGGACCCACCACACCGTTTTCCAAGGCAGATGCACCATCTTACATCCCCACCAGCAACGCCGGAGGGTTCTAGTTCCTCCACATCCTCGTCAACACTCGCTGTCGTCGATTCCGCCGCCTGGCGGAGGCGAAGTGGTATCACCGCGGTTTCGAGGGACTAGTCTTTTGAAATGTCCTGCAGTGTGTATCCCTTGCATTTCTGTGTGTTCTTCGGACGCTTGGGACACCTCTGAATTGCAGAATCTCTCACCCCCTGCTCTGGCTTGCTCACCAAGACGCCTTTGCCCTTATGGTCTGATTTTCCTTAGGGCCAGTCTGCATGTGCCTGGACGTGATGAGAGTCAAGAGAGGTTAGGACGCAGGAAGGCCGCCGCCACCCAAAACCCCGGTGTCGGGTGCCCTGGCCTCGCCGCTGCAAGAGGAGAGCTGAGGAAATCCTGGGCCTAGGTGATCTTGCTCCTCTGAAGCCACAGGCCTCCAGAGTTTGCTCACCTGACCCTCCCACCCCGTTCTAACTTTCTATTCTGAAAATCGCTCAACATACACAAAGGCAGGGAGAAGAGAGGAGCGACCCCCTGAATTCCTCCCCCAGGCATTCCATGTCTGGACTTCTGCCATTCTGGCTACTTCTGTTCCCTCACTAACATTGTTTTTAGCCTGGAGTGGTATTTTCAAGCTAATCCAAGACATACTAGTTCCCCCTTAAATATTTCATTCTGCATCTTTAACAAATACCAACTTTATAAACACCAAAACCGCAATACCATCGTCACAGCCCGTGGCAATTCCTTGAGATCTAGCCTGAGTCCATTTGCTGATTTTCCTGAGTCTTTTTACATTGAACTGATACGGCTTTTCATTCTCTTTTTTCCAAAATAAACTTACTGTTTTTCCAGAACAGTTTTAGATTTGCAGAAAAAAATATGACCTCATTTTAACTTAATCACCTCTGTAAAGACCGTGTCCCCAAATACAGTGACGTTCTGAGGTGCTGGGGGTTTGGGCTTGCACGGAAGAATGTTGGGGGGCACAGTTCAGCCTGTATGGTTCTTCGGGCCCATGTCTCCATCCCCACACGGCGGGTCGGGGTGTCACACAGCCAGGGCAGTGGCCAGAGCGAGCAGGGCCAGCCCCATAGGGAACAGCGAGAGTTGTACAGCCGGATGGAGGGGCGGGGGTGTCCTTTGCACCGTGAGAAAGAACCTCTGGCCTGGACCTGTGCCGGTTTCTCAGGTAGGGCGGGTTTCGGAACACCTGCCCATAGACGCGTGTTCCGGGGGAGGTGACTGCTGGGTTTGCTCCGAGGGCCCAGCCTCTGTCTTTGCTGGGAGTTCCATGGGATTCCACCCTGCCCCCCATGGATGTGACCGCCTCAGCTGCATCGGGCTCCTGCCGCGTGCTGGCCGCTGTGCTGAGGTCAGGTTCTAACGCTGAATCCTCTCTTGGTCCCATTTTGCAGCTCAGAAAACAGAGGTTCAGCAGCAGGGACAGTGACGTCTGTTCCTCCCAGAATAACTGCTTCCACGCACGCTTTCTAGGGCAGTCGGTGCCATTTAAAGGCCTGCTATCCTTTTCTCACAAAGCCTTTCTTTTTTCCTCCCTTTGAACAAATTAGAGAAATCGCTACACGTTGACAGACACGCACAAGTCACCCATACTTTAGGCAGTTCTACCAGGATGGACAAAATGTGGTATATCCATAAAGCGGATGCTGCTTGGCGATAAAAGGGAAGGAAGTGCTGGTTCGTGCTATGACACGGATGAACCGCGAAAACACTGGAGTGGAAACTGCCAGACACCAAAGGTCATGTATCGTAGGGTTCCTTTTACATGAAACGTCCAGAATGGGCAAAGCCACAGAGACGGGGAGCAGATGGGTGGGGGCCAGGGACGGGAGGGCGGAATGTCAGTGACTGCTCATAGGTGCAAGGTTCCTTTTGGGGCAATGAAAATGTTCCAGAATTAAATTGTGGTGATGATTACATGCCCTGTGAATATTCTAAAACCACCAAATTGTATAGTTTTGTAGACAGCCCCAGAGTGTCTGATGCAGTGGTCCGGGTGGGGCCCAGGAGCCTGCTTTTCTGATAGACTCCGGCTAGTCCAGAGAACACACTCTGAGAACCACTGACCCGGGATAGATACCCCGAGGTAGGATTTCTAGAAGCTCTGTCCTCTCGGGTGTGGTTCTCATTCATGCTTCTCCTTCTCCTGGATCCCCCCGCCCACCTGCCCCCACCAGAGAGAGGGGCGGTCACCCCCCCCCCTTTTCTCTGACGCATGTGCTTCCTTCTGGCATTTTCCACATGGTCTTTTTTTGGGTTTTTTTTTTTTTTTTTTTTTTACAAAAATGTAAACCCCTTCCTTTTTTTAGATGACAGCTTCGTTGAGATTTATTAATAATTCACATACCATACAATGCACCCATTTAAAGTGTGCAGTGCCGGTGTTTTTAGTGTATTTGCAGTTATGTGTAAGTATGATCAGTTTTAGGACGTTTTCTTCATCTTGGGAAAGAAATCCTGTGCCCTTTAGCTATCATCCTCCTACCTCCCAAGCCCCCGGAAACCCCTAATTCTGTCTCTGAGGATTTGCTGTCCTGGACATTTCATCAATATGTGGTCTTCGGTGTGTGGCCTCTTTCATTCAGCGTGATGTCTTCAAGGTTCATCCGTGTTGTGTGAATCGGCGCTTCGTTCCTTTTTACGGCCAAATAATGTCCAGTTGCAAAAACAGGACACATCATGTTATCCATTCATCAGTTGTCCACATGGTGTTTAGATGTACAGATGCCTTGAGTGCTTGCACCTGTGCAATTTCTTAAAAGGTTGATGTCATCGTAGGACACGTTGGGGTAAATACTTCTGTTAGAATATTGGACATGGATAGGAGTTCTGAACATTTACCACGTGCTCAAAGCATGTCACTTGAATATCCCAGTGCTCCTAATAGCCACAGGTGAGGTAGGTACTGTTACCCCATTTGTCAGCTGCAGCCCCGAAGCCCCAGACAGCTTACGAATATGTATCGGATGCCCGTGGCCACCCGGCTAGTAAGAGGCAGAGCTGGGATTCGAACCCAGGTGATGTGATCAGCCATGTGGCTTGTGCTTTCTTAGCCACGGGACTAGCTCAGAGGTGATTGGCGTCCTCCACTCTCCTGGTTGCTGATTCAGCCCTGCTCTTCCCGTCTCATCTGTCCTGGAGGAACATCCAGCTAGGACGTCCAATTAAAATGCTGTAGCCAATTTACCTTGAGACATTTACCCTCCACATGTGAGCCCATGGCAGGTGTACTTGGTTCATTGCAGCACTGTCTCTGATAGCAAAGGTTGGAAGCAACCTACGTGTCCATCAGTAGGGGACTAGCTGCAGGTGTACCATCTTTTAAAAAGAATTTTGCACCGCTGTATGGTCTGAGTTTGAGTGATTGCCAAGATAGAGTGTTGTATGAGAAAAACTGTAGAACTGTACACATACACTGCCATTTGTGGGGGGAAAAATCTATGCTGTTGTTGACCCGGCGTATCTGAGGAAGGACACACAGGTGAGTGGTAATGGTGGCGCCTCCAGGTTGCTGGGCAATGAGGTAGAATGCTTACTTTTCTCCGAACATCTGTTTGTAGTTTTTAGTTTTGTGTTAGATACATAAAATATCACTTATTTAAAAAAATAAGATAAAATGAGGCTGCACCTCCTATTTCTCTAGCCCCGTGGTTCTGCAGGATCACCTGGAGAAAGACCTCAGAGCCCAGGGTCCCAGAGTTGGACAGAGCACGGGGCTCTGTCATTACCAGCTTCCTAGGAGACCCTGGCCCGCTTGAGTTTGGGAATCGGGTTCTCACGTTTCACAGCTGGTGTGGGTGGCCCAGCCTCTGGGGGGCTAGGTGGGTGGCAGAAACCACCACTCTTGAAAACTGAGAAATCGGGCAGAGGAGAGGAGAGCGCCTGAGCAAAGAAGGAACAGAAAGACAACAGGAGAAATGGCAGGTGGAGTGAAGCAGCCTTGCAGAGTCCCGGCTCCCGTGCACAGGGTGCCCGGCCTGTCTGCGGGAGGGCTGCGATTCACCCACTTCCACCAAGCTGTCGGCCGGCCATCAGTGCCGAGCTCGGGCTGGTCCCCCGGCTAGTGGGGCTGGTCCCCCGGCTAGTGGACCACTCGCGGTCAGCTTGATATCTTTTCTCTGTTCTGGTATAAACTTGGCTCCACTCGTTGAGTAGGGCGGTGGCGTGCTGGGTGATCCGGTGGTGAGTGACTGTTTTCTTATTTCTGCAGTTCTTGACCCGGCTGACCGAGCGGTTCGTGTTGGGAGTGGATATGTTCGTGGAGACGTTGTGGAAAGTTTGGACAGAGCTCTTGGATGTTCTTGGACTTGACGGTAGGTGTGGGGGTGGCATTCGTGTAAGGTGCCATTTTATTCCATTGGTTCTCAAAGTGTGGAACTGGCACCCACGGTGGGAGGTAGATGAGAAGGTGTTGGGGGCAGGGTAGTGAGGATGTGAATGAACATTATTTATTTTAATAGTTGCACGTATAAGTGGCTCTTCAAACCGGAGATTTCCCAGATGCTGTCTGTCTGTCCATCTATTTATGTATTTACTTTAAATCCTGTTAGCTTCTGACCAGATGCTATTTAGGATATGGTGCACGTGGGCAGCTCCAGCTTCTCTGCCCCTAGGCAGACCACACCGACCGGAGGTTAGCGCTCTGGTTTATTGGGATCCGTGAAAGAAACTACTCTAGTTCTGTAGGCAGAACGGGACTTGGTGGAGAACGAGGCACTCGCAGAATCATCCGAAGGGCTAGAGGAGAGATGTGTGGCCCCAGACACCGCCAAACCGGCCTGCCAGGGTTGCTGCTGTTGGCACCGTTGAGTTCAAGGTCACACAACTGTAGCAGTTACTTGAGGACCAGGAAGCTTCCACCACTGCCTCAGTGACGAGGCTTTGCACGCTGCTGCAGGGACGCCCACCATTTCTGGAACCATGCGTGTCAGCCGTGGCCAGAAGGCAGCCCCATCTCCCTTACTTTTCACAGTTCCTGGGTCAGGAGAACCGCTACTGGGCAGAACCTAATTTCTGTCCAGTCTCTAGCTGCAGGGGAGTCAGGGTGACGTAGGTCTTAGCCCTCCGGCGTCTGCAATCCCAGAATCACACAGCGGATGCTGCATGAGCCAGCCGGCCTACCACACCCACCGCACTGGGTGCGGATTGCCAGGGGAGCGGCCCCTGAGTTTTGTTGGCCGGGGGAGAAGCGTAGCGTGATTTGATGGTGCAGTGCTGGTCACACATTTCCAGCCAGGAAGACAGCAGCGGTGGGGCACAGTCCTGCCCCTTCCACACGTCTGGGAGGCGCAGTATATTGGCCTCGGCGGGGGTCGAGGCGAAGGCAGTGAGGCTGAGCGGCGAGGTGGCAGCAGCCCCGGGAACTGAGCAGAGCGCCCTGGTCCAGGCCTGCAGCTCGCACCGCCCACACCTCTGTACCCTCCTTCCCAGGCGGCTCCGCCCTGCCCCTACCTGTCCACGTGTGGGGCAGTGACGAGTCCTTCAGTGTCCCATCTGGGGGTGGCAGGAGCTAACCTGGGCAGAGCGCCTGTGCTGTGCCAGCGCTTACGTCCAGAGGTGATCTTGTCCCTGACCCCGTGCGCCCGGTAAGCAGGAGTCTCCCAGCAGCCGGGCCCGCTGCTCCCTTTGCGTCCTCGGCGTCGAGGCCGCTCTCTCCACTTGCGCCTGTCCAGAGTAAATCCCCAGGCAGGGCGCCGTCCGGGTCCAGGCTGCCACCTCTCCCGCCAGGAAGTCTGCAGTAGCCGCCTGCATTGAGGTCCCTGAGGCCACCCCCAGGTGCACTGAGTCACTAGGTGGACCTCGGGACGCAGCACGGGGTCCTGCTCACAGCTGTGACTTACGATAGGGAGAGGACGCGAAGCCGCATCAGCAAAGGGAAAAGGCACGTGGGGCCAAGTCCAGGGGAGTCCAGGCCCGAGCGTCCGGAGTCCTCTTCCCCTGGAGTCACGCAGGACGCCCTTCATTCCTCCAGCAACAAGTCGTGACAACCCACGTGAAGTGTTGTGTGCCGGGGAAGCCCGTTCGAGACTCAGGGTTCAGGATTTTTATTGGGGGCTGGTCACACGGGCACCCTCTGCCTGATAACGTGCAAAATCCCAGACTTGCAGCAGGAAAGCAGGTGTCTGTCACAAGCCACATTGTCTGTCTTCTCCAGGCTGCACGCTCGCCCTGGCCTTGCGCCGGGCACAAAGGAGCCCTTTGTTGCTGAGAGTGGGAGGGCTGGGGTCCCGCTGCTCAGCCAGTTGCGTGGGTTGAACTGGGTCCCCAGTAAGACGAATTCAGGCCCTAGCCCCGGGACCTGTGAATGAGCCCTTGTTTGGGAATAGGGTCTGTGCCGATGTGATCAAGTTAAATGAGATCATCCCTGATTAGGGTGGGCCCTAAATCCAGACTGAGGTCCTTGTAAGAGGTGGAAAATCTGGACACAGAGACACTAAGAAACATGGGAGGAAGACAGCCACGTGAAGACGAGATCGGAGTGACGCGGCCCCCAGGAGCTGGAAGAGGCGGGGAGGACCCTCCCTGGAACTGTTGGAGGAGCGCAGCCCTGCTCACGCCTGGAGTTTAGACTTCTGGCCTCCAGAACTCCAGAAGAGGACGGATTTCTGCTGAAAGCCGCCCACTTTGTGGTAGTTTGTTTTGGCAGCCAAGGACACTGATGGAACCCTGTTCCGTGAGGACTCTCTCAGTGGTCCTTGACACCCCCATTTTCCAGATGGGAGATGGGGGCTTGAGGCTGAGCCGTTGGCCACCATGGGGCACACTGGTTGGTGCCTGTTGTCACTTCCCCCAGCCACTTGGAACCGTCTCCAGCCTTGAGTCATTGAGTTCAACCTTTAGGGGGCCTCAGACCCGCCCAGGGCACCTCGATGCTCGGGCACAAAGAGCCCCAGGCAGCAGCAGAGCCGCTGCAGAGGATGCTGTGCAGCCCGCAGTCCCCCGGGGCCACTGACGGCCCCTCCGGGGACCTGGCTGAGTCAAGCATCACCCAGATACGGCAATCGTGTGCAATCCTGCCTGGCGTCCACACCCAGCCCTGCGTGGATTGTTTCTGTCCCTGCCCAGCGAACCCTGGAGGAGCAGGCCTGATTGCGGGAAGTTGCGTGCAGCCTGGAGTGAAACGCTGCAGCGTGGGAACGGCCTCCCAGTCACTGGGAGACCAGAACAGTCATTGCGCTGCGGAGCCGCTCGCGTTCCCGATGAGAGCAGCTGGCACATTCCGGAGGTGTGCTGAAACTCACTCGCTTCCGAGTCGTGGTTCTCCCCGTTTTATTTGGTGCATAAGCGTCAAAGCATCCGAAGGTCTTTGGAATTGGAGTCTTTTTTTTTTTTTTAATTTTTGATTTTGGAATTGGAGTCTTATGCCTAAAAGTTTGAGTGTGCGAAGTGCTTTATAGAAAACCATATGCCAAAGTGGGACATTCTGGTGCAAAAGATTTCTGTGGGTACAATCCTCTTAATTTCCTTTTTCAGAATTGTTTACAGTGCTGGTTAAAATGGAGACGCTAAGCTTGGCACAGAGCGATCGAGTGGAAATAGAACACATAGGTAATATTAAATTTGCTAGTATCCGCATTAAAAACGTAAAAAAGAAACTGGTGAAATTAATTTTACTAAGATATTTTAGTTAACCTAATATATCCAAAAATATTATCATCTCTAGTGGCAATCAATATAAAAATTGTCATTGAAGTGTCTCATGCTTTCCGGGCACTGGAGCCTTTGCAGTCCCGTCTGCATTTGACTCTGAGCACGCTCGGTGCGGACCTGTCCCATTTCAAGTGCTCAGCGAACAGCCTCCGTCCCTGCCCTACGGCTGCCGGCACAGAAGCCTTTTCTGGGAAATCGAGCACTTGCCCAGGAGTCAGGAGGCTGGGCCGAAGTCTCCCGTCAAGGTGCTCACTTCCTCTGACGCCTCTGAGGCCACTTCCAGCAAAACGCGGAAAGGAGTCCCCCTCGGTGACGCGTCCGTACGGGGACCGGACGGCTCTGGAAACCAGACGCCCTGCGTGCGACTCTCAGCCCTGCCCTGCCCCACCGGGGGACCCTGGGCAAGCAGCCTGTGTGGGGACTGCCATCCGCCTCACTGGCACGTCGGGACTGGGTAACAGCATGTGCAGGGGGCTCGGGGAGCACCTGGCCCACAGTCAGTCCTCCATCAACACATGGTGGTGCGTGAAGGGGCCCTGCTCCCACATGCGTGTCACTGTGCAGTTCCCAGACCCACGGGATCTGGATTTTCCGTGCTGAGGGCCGTCTGTCCGGCTGTACCCAGAGCTGGCCTCTCCGTCTGCACCCTTGGGGACTTTACAGGTCTGTAGCGACCTAGACCCGGCCCGAGCTGAGAAATGGGGCTGCCACCAAAACATACGAGTTGAATTGGGTCTCCCCAGCATTCCTGTGTTGAAGTCTAATACCTCTTCTAATACCTTAGAATGTGACCTTATTTGGAGACAGGGTCATTAGAGATTTGGTTAATTAAGAGGAGGTCATGCTGGAGCAGGCGGGTCTCAAATCCAATGACTGGTGCTCTTGTAAGAAGGGGACATTTTCACACACACACACGCGCGCACACACACACACACACACACGCACGCACGGGGAGAAGGCCGTGTGAAGACAGGCAGAGTTCGGAGTGATGATTCTACAAGCGGGGGGACACCAAGGATTCCAGCAACCACCAGAAGCCAAGAGAGGCCTGGAACAGATGCCCCCTTCCCAGCCTCAGAAGGAACCAGCCCTGTGGACACGCTGGTCCCAGACATGCAGTACATGGACCCTCACGAGGCCTTGGTTGAGCTGAGAAGGAAATAGCTATACTCAGCCGGGTGCGGTGGCTCGCGCCTGTAATCCTGGCATTCTGGGAGGCCAAGGCAGGAGGATTGCTTGAGGTCAGGAGTTTGAGACCAGCCTGAGCAAGAGCAAGAGCCTGTCTCTACTATAAATAGAAAGAAATTAGCCAAACAACTAAAAATAGAAAAAAAAAATTAGCTGGGCATGGTGGCATGTGTCTGTAGTCCCAGCTAGCTACTCGGGAGGCTGAGGCAGGAGGATCGCTTGAGCCCAGGAGTTTGAGGTTGCTGTGAGCTAGGCTGACGCCACGGCACTCACACTAGCCTGGGCAACACAGTGAGACTCTGTCTCAAAAAAAAAAAAAAAATTAAAAAAAAATAGCTATATTCCTAGATAGTTGGGAAATTGAAATGGTAGCCTGGAACTGTTGATACTCTTAGGTGTGATGATGGTCACATGGTTTTGAGGTGAATAATGTCTTTATTCTTGCAAGGTGCATGACGAAATATGATATGTGTCTTTCCAATGGTTCAAACCAAAAAAATTATGTAAATAAGAGATAAAGCAAAATATGGCAGATTTAATCATTGTTAAACCTGGGTGGCTTTGACAGGAATAGTCACTGTTCTTTCAGCTTTTTTGTTTGAAATTTCCTTAAGCTAGGCACACAGAAGATGCTACTCCTCCATTTCCCTCCCTTGTTTCGATAGCACACCATGTGCCAGCAGTTAGGGTTAGGTTTGGCTGTGACAGGGATCCAGTAACAATGGTTAAACCAGATGAGTGCTTATTATTTCCATCTTATATGAAAGTCCACAGGGAGGTAGGTGGGTAGTATGATGATTCTGATGGATGTTGTATTCTGAGCTGAAGCACCTTCCATTTAATGCTGTCCCATGAGACACTTCCATGTCCTCATGGCCCACTATGGCTGCTCCAGCTTCGGTCATTGCATCCACATTCCAGCAGGCAGAAGAGGAGGTAAAGGGCACATTCCTACTGCTTTCAAGGATAACCCCCTGAAGTTACTGCAAATTACCTCTTCTTGGCCAGAGCTTAATTATGTAGCTGCAGGGGAGGCAATGAAATACCTTTACCCTAGGTAGTTGTGTACGCAGCCTGAAATGGAGCATTTATTACTATGGAAATTAAAGGACAATTTGCAGGCTCTGCTCTACCGTGAGAGGTGCTTTAAGCTCACAATACGGCAGGTCGTCTTACAGGGGTGCCCTGCATCTTCTCTTGGAGCTTCGCGTGCATGTTAAGGGAGTAACTTACTTGAGTTCCTTGGGTTGTTGCAAAGGCCTTGTGAGCCCAGCAAGGGAGGTGAGCGCCCCCACTCCCCCTTGTTGAGAGCCCCACACCCACACACTCCCGCGTAACCGGCGCTGTTCCTCTTTTCTGTTCCGCAGTCTCCAACCTGTCCCAGTATTTCAGCCCGGCCTCGGTGGCCAGCAGCCCGGCCCGTGCGCTCCTGCTGGTCGGCGTCGTCCTCCTGGCCTACTGGTTCCTGTCTCTGACTCTGGGCTTCACCTTCAGCGCCCTGCACCTGGTGTTCGGCCGCTTCTTCTGGATCGTGCGGGTCGTCCTGTTTTCCATGTCCTGCGTGTACATCCTGCACAAGTACGAGGGTGAGCCGGAGAACGCCGTGCTGCCCCTGTGCTTCGTGGTGGCCGTCTACTTCATGACGGGGCCCATGGGCTTCTACTGGCGCAGCAGCCCCAGCAGCCCCGGCGTGGAGGAGAAGCTGGAGCACCTGGAGAACCAGGTCAGACTGCTCAACATCCGCCTCAACAGGGTGCTCGAGACCCTCGACCGCTCCAAGGACAAGTGACTGGCGGCCAGCCGGCGGGCGCCGCCTCCACCAGCGAGCTCTCTTGGAGGACAGAAGAGGAGGAGGAAACACAAAAACAAACCACCGAACCCCAAGCGATCTTAAATAAACATGACTGGGCAAGAAAGTGGCGCTTTGTCAGGGTGTTTCCAGCCGCCCGCCAGCTCTTAGGACTGACGTTCCAAGAAGGATGAAAAAGATCGTGCGTGCAGAACGATGCGCGGAGTGTCATTAGTGGAAAAAATATTTTTTAAACAAAGGATATAATCATATTTAGCTGTACAGTGAGAGAAAATTTATCTGTGCATAGAGCATAAAGTTAATTTTTTCAAGCATTGAAATACATCTTTTGTAAGGTTTTTTAATAAAGGCAGATTGAGTCGAGTTTATTAAAACTTTACATGGAGGGGGAGAATATGCTAATTTGACATTTTAGAAAAGTTTAAATGCAAGCGTTTGTTTTTGCAGCTTAGGAATTGGTGGATGACGTCTGTGTGCGTTAGTTATTTTCATGTCCCAAAACTGTGAGCTTTATTTTATGTTATTTTTGGTTGATGTTGACTTAATGAATGTTGTCACTTCTCAAGGTGGGCAGTTGGGCCAGAGATGACACCTGACCTCTTTTGTATCCGAGTGACCCCCACCAAGCCCCATCAGCCGTATTTCTAAATGGAGAAATCATTATTTCTAGAAGACCTGAGGTTTTCTTCCTCCCTCTGTACTTTGATGTATTTTAACCTCAATTTTTCGAAAAGGAAAATGCAGGAAAGGGCAAAGAAATGTCTACGTGAGTAAAGCACTGAAGATACTCAAGAATCTATTTCATGTCCCAATGTCGCTGTCTGCCAGGTAGGCCCAGATACAAAAGCCTTGGTGGGTTTTTTTCTTTGTTTCATTTTGTTTCTGGTGGACTCAGGACCTTTGAAGGAAAACAAACAGCGGCTAACAACATTTTCAAGTCTGTTGCTGCTTATGATGCATTCTCAGCAACAAGCTGCAGCAATACAATATACAAGCCTTGGAAAAGATCTGAATTGTTTTCCCTGAAGTCTTTACAACATATTTGTTGGGTGCTTGTCTGAAATCCATTGCATCCTCATTTTCAGTGGTTTCTAGGGGCAGAGGGTGGTGCACACAGAGAGGGCTCTGGCCGGGGCTGGTGGAAATGCCCCTTTGCTAGGAGCCTGTTAGGAAGGGAAGCCCACCGCTTGCAGGACGTAGCCTTGAAGGCCGCTGGGGACTGAGGCTGTCTCTAGAGACCCCAGTCAGACTTGCTGGAACCAGACCTTATGGGCTGGGTCTCAGTTTGGGGAAGACTTAGCTGTTTACCGAGTCTCGTGCGGAGTTTCTGTGAAGTTTCTTTTGGTTGCAAGTGTCTGGACAACAGATACAGATGTTTCTGAGGATACTTCTGAAACTTCTTAAGGTGCACATAATGGGACCCAAACCCTCCTGGATTTGGTTCACTTCCTAAAACACACACCTGTTCCCTAGGATTTAACTTGAGCAGATCTTTATCCATGGGCATTTGGGATGCATGATTTCTGGATCGAAACCAGTCCAGTTTTGTCATTTTGATGCTTGCAGATGAACCTATTTTAGTGCAGCGTATAAATACCTTGGGGAGGTCATCATCATCCTCTTTCCTTTTGTGTATTTCACTGTCCCGTGTTCAGGTACGAAAATAGAGCTTTGCTTTTGTTGGCCAGGGGGAGAGTGGCATCCTGTGCACAGAGTCGGTGACTGCGGCCCTTGCCTTGGCTGCCCCGTTGTTTGTGGTCATTGCAGGCTGCCCGAGTGTTGTCTTAGACTGTCAGCGGGCATGGCCGAGTGTCCACTCCATTCCTCCTTGCGCCTTCATCCCTGAAACACGGAGGGAACTGTGTTCTCTTGAGATCTACATAGGACGATCCTTTTAACTTGCAGTAAACGGAGGGAGGGACGTGTAGCCTGGGTGCTGGTGGATTTGGACCTTAGACATCCATTGAAGATCGCTGTCAAAGGAATGTGCACCTTTTTGCTAAGTGTAGGCTCTGAAGCCAGTTTTGTAGTTAGATCACACTCAAGTGGAAGATGTCTTCATTTTTAATGAAAGAAGCTACAGTTAAGTTACTGAGTGTCACTTCAGGGCAGAACATTATTTGAAATTCTGATAGAAATCCTAGATGCCAGGTTTGAAGAAGTCTTGTTTTTTTAATGCATACATCTCACTTTGGTTTTGGGCGTATTCTTAACTCCAAATAGCTGGGATTTTACTTTCTCCTTTCCATGGAAGCTTGTAGGGTATTCAGCCCTCCCATATCTTTCTTTTTTCTCTTTTGTATGTGGAAAAATGTATTTTTGTACCATATCTCATACCTTGAAGAGAAAACTTTTTTATATCTTCAGGGCTGTAGAGTATATTAATGCAGCACTTCACAGAATGCGATATAAAAACATTCTGATGAAAACTGTGGATCTGTTGTAATGAAGACTCAGTTTTTAATATCTTAAATTTGATCAGTGTTAACTTCCCAATGCTTCAGTATCACAATAAACACTGGCTTTACTGAGAACAGAAAATCATCTAGAAAATAAAAAGGACCAACCACGCCCCAGTGCTGGGTTTGTGTGGATGTGTTAGGGTTGATGTTCCGGGACCTCTTCCTCGACAAAGATGCTTTCGTGGCACGTGAGCCTTGCCTGAGCAGGCTCTCCGGTACCAGTCAGCTCTCCTTGCCTTTTGGTTCCTTTTGCTTCAGAGCTTAGCCCCCACGCCATTTCCGGTAACAGCACAGCAGCAGAATTCCTTGACAGCAGGCCCTTGCGCCTGGGTCGTGATTCATAAAGGGGAGGTGAATGCAATGGAAAGGCCACACAAAGCCGGTCTCACACAGGGCTCAGGAAGCAGAAACATCAGGGAACTGGGACAATGTCGTTAGGGCCATGGCGGCGGGAAGTGACCAAGAGGGGCCACCCCCTATCGGGTACTCAGTAAGAACATGCAGGTTGGGGTCTGTAGTTGGGAAGATTATAATGTGACTGTCGCACGCCTAAAGGGCTGCCTTGCAGGGAAGATAGAAACACCTCTGGTTGCCCGTCTGGCCCTGGGACTCGGCAGAGGTGCAGAGTGGTCAAGAATCACAGGTGTCTGATGGCTGACACAGAACCTAGACATTGTTAATACAACTTGTCACTAGTGGGAATCCTGACTTGCTTCATTTCTGTAATCCCTGCTACTTTCTAAGATGTCCTTGATAAATGACATCTGCCTTACTGGTTGACACCTGCTAACTTCTCCCTGATGGGTTTCGAATTAGCTGACTTACCCAAAATGCCAGCCCTTGCCATCCAACTGGTGTTTTTCTTTCTTTCCTTTCCTAAAGAAACCAGTGGGTAGTTTTAGACCAACTGGTATTAAAAGGAATTCCTAAGGCTGCTAAGGTGTCAACCACCCCACTCCAGCTTTTTTTTTTTAATGCTATGTCACCTGCAAAAATTTTATTTATGGCCATGTGAATAGCTGGACTTTTGCTCCTCACTTGTGAATAATAGAATTATATATATTTTGCAGGATCTAATGTAGTACCCTTAAATGCATATTGGATGACCATCAATGTCATGTATAGTATCTGGTGTGAACAGACTTTATTCAGCATATGGGATTCTTCTGTGTTTTGTTCTTCCTTGATATGTAGGAGATAACAGCAGTACCAGTTTTTTTCTTGTGGTGGCATAAAAAAGTCGATTGTCATCTGCATCATCTGCTGAAAACCCGTGGCAGCTAATGGTATTATGACCATATGTCCTAATGTCTCTTTGCAGATTTAAAGGTTTTATTGTAGTGTCAACATAATATCCGCATGTGTGTTAAATCTCTGAATACCGTGTAATTCAATTGATCTCTTGTGATGGTGATGGTGATTATTAGCGCACACTTAAAATCCAGCAAAGCAATTGTTTCCCTCTTCTTACCTGGAAATCATATTTGTGAGGTATGGTACCCATTCTCAACTGCGTATTCATGGTTCAATTCATACTTTGTGTATCTGGTTATAAATTTTGTATAGCATTTGCTTTGACACTTAATATAAATTCATTTGATTTGAATATAATGGTGTGTGTGTGTGTGTATTTCAGTTCCATGAGCCTTGGGAAGCTGATTCTACAAATATCTTATATAGACATAAATGTATCAGGCTTATTTTCTTTTTCTTTTTTTTCTTTTTCCAAAGCAATATATACATTCCTCTTATTTATTAAATCACTGGCTTTGGTGTTATGTAGAGATATTTGTAGATCTCAGAACAGAATTACAATATTGTGCAAATTACAACTTAATAAATGTTTATTGTAATTTTGTTGTACAGACTTTTAAAATATATTTCATCACTTCTAGCCAAACATTTATGGAGTTTCCCCAATTTTTTTATCCCTACCTTTCTCCCTTTCTGTTTTGACATGTAACAGTAATTCTATGATGAGAAGAGTCACAAAACCTTGAATTTAAATGTTCAGGTGGTGGTAGGGTTGTCAGATAAAATACACAATGCCCGGTTAAATTTTAATTTCAGATTAAAAAAAAATCCCCAGCCCTCCTTTAGTATATTCCACATGAGTTATCTGAAACTGAAATTTAACCATGTGTCCTATATTTTTACTTGCTAAATGGGATGACACTAACAGAGTAATGCAATTGATGTACACCCCTCCACCCAACCCTGAACCAGCACTAGCACTTTCTTGGGTGCTAAAAATCCTTTCCTTAGCAAGCACTTAGGAATAAATGCAACAGGAGTACAGTCAAGTTAAATACACTTATGACCCAGGAGTACTCCTGGGCATGTGTCCACATATCATATATTGCAGAGAGCAAAGTCTCACATGGGTTCCACAAGGGGACGTTTGAGGCCAGCCATGGTGGTGGTATTTGGAGGTCACCCATCCCTGGGAGAGGGGTGAGGTGGCAGGACGATGCAGCCATTAGTAGCGATAACAGAGCAGTGTGAGAAAATAGACACCAGAATAAGAAACCATCCACTTGAGTAAATTCAATACTTGGGATTAAAATAATCATTTTGTAAGAACGCATTTAAAAAGAAAACCTGGTGTGGTGGCATGTGCCTGTCTGTAGTCCCAGCTACTCTGGAGGCCAAGGCAGGAGGATCGCTTGAGTCCAGGAGTTTGAGTCCAGCCTCGGCAGCATAGTGAGACCCCCTCACCCATCTCTAAAAAAATAGTTTTTAAATAAATACAAAATAAAAGTAAAAGATTCAAAGGAAACACTTAGGTTGGGAGGAGGATGGGAATAAGTAGCAGGGATCAAGAAGAAAGCAAAATAAAACAGGAGCAAGACCTCGCCGGGACATGGAAGCCACCAAGGGAAGCTGACTCGCACTTGGATTGTGCTTGTGGGAAATGAGACAGAAACATACACACTCCGGTACACACACAGACACATGGCAGTTAAACCGTTCCCAAAAGAGTGCCCACATCAAATCTATGCTTTCTCTAGGTCCTGCTGAATTATCGGAGTCAACCTTACAGGCGGGCAGTAGGACAGGGACGGGGGCAGGCAGGGGACACGGGGGTCCTGCCTGTCCACCAGTGCACCAGGCTCTGCTGTGAGCCTGCTGCGCCGTGAGGGAGGGTGTGTGGGCTGCGGCTACACCAGCTGCCCTGCTGTCACTGCCTAATAGTTCACCAGGCCCCGACATCTCAGCAGCGTGCCACGCTGGGCCATCAGGGTGGCTCCTTGGACTTGAATTTAAACCGTCTAGCCTGTCCAGTCTCTGGTCATGCTGTTCTTTCAGCGGCAGTCAGTGCTGCGGCCCCATCCCTTCCTGGTTCTGTTCGTCCTTCCTTTGTGGAGGTCCATGTTTCCACTTTGGGTGGGCGGCAAAGCTAGGAACTATTAACATTTAAAACCTGAGCACCCGATGGCCCAGCAAATGCCCCTGCTTTTGCACCTCAGCCCCAGGACAAACAAAATGGTGTATAAAGGAACTTATAATAGTTCGATGGCAAAAGAAATAAATAAAATTTTTTTACTTGAGGGACTGAAGCATCCACAACAAAATATGTATTAAGGAACACCCAGGAGAGCTGTTCTTTTTTCTTCTCTTGTGCTTTCAAAAGTCTGGGTCCATCATTTTTGGACAACTTCACAATGTGCCTGAGTGGCCTCTCTGGACCAGAGTTAGAGAGCTGGCAGCAGAAGATGGGAGAGAAATGGCTCAGCAGAAGTTCCTCCCGATGCCCAGTGCACACAGGGATTCCTGTTTCTCCTATTTTGTGTTTAGAATTCCAAACAGTGGCTTATAGCAGCCATTATTTAGGAATAGGCAAACTATAGCCAGTTGCTTGTTTCTGTAAATCAAGTTTAACGGACCACAGCCACACTCGTTCCTTTATGTACTGCCTGTGACTGCATTCATGCTACAAGGCAGCAGGGCCACAAAGCCTAAAATATCTACTGTGTGACCTTTTCTACAAATTTTTCGGATGACCTCCTCATCTAGACCTATGCTGGGCAATACAGCAGCCAGGAGCCACGTGTGGTTACTGAGCACTGGAAATGTGGCTAGCCTGGATGTGCTGTAAGCTAAAATAAAATATACATCAAATTTCAAAGACATTGTGCCAAAAATAAATATTAAATGTCTCATTAATAATTTTTAGGCTGGGCGCGGTGGCTCACGCCTGTAATCCTAACACTCTGGGAGGCCGAGGCAGGCAGATCGTTTGAGCTCAGGAATTTGAGACCAGCCTGAGCAAGAGCGAGAGCCCGTCTCTACTATAAATAGAAAGAAATTAATTGCCCAACTAAAAATATATAGAAAAAATTAGCCGGGCATGGTGGCGCATGCCTGTAGTCCCAGCTACTCAGGAGGCTGAGACAGAAGGATTGCTTGAGCCCAGGAGTCTGAGGTTGCTGTGAGCTAGGCTGATGCCACCACACTCTAGCCTGGGCAAAAGAGTGAGACTCTGTCTCCAAAAAAATAATAATAATAATAATTTTTAATATTGATCACATGGTTGAAATAATATTTTGAATATAATGGGCTAAATAAAGTTTATTATCAAATTTTATTTTATCTGTTTATCTTTTATTGTTTAGAATGTGGCCACTGGAACATTTTAATGTACACATGTGGCTTGCATTGTATTTCTATCAGACTGCACTGGACCACAGTACAAGACAGGGCCACATGTCACAGCTCCAACTTCAATCACTCAGGTGTTTATTAACTGAAGACAGTAATAGTAACTTCTTACTCTGCTGTCTTAATGGTTCTTGGGACAGGAGGGAGCACAGCTCAGTAGCTGTGTGTCTGACACAGGTAGCTAGTGCCTATGTGTTGGAAAACAAATGACCCTCAATGGCTTGAGTCCCCAAACTTTGGACACTCATTCATTTGCACAGTACAAACTACTTGCATCTGTGCCTAGAAATGGTCTCCTCCTGGGATGACCTACCCATAACAGGAGAGTCAAACTCACCCCTCGGGTTAGTCAATTCTGGCTGGACATTGGCTGCTGTCTTGCAAACCCTTGTCAGGTGAGATGGAGAACTTCCAGTTTTCCAACTGGAATTAGAGAAATGCAGGTAGGTGAAGGGGGAAGGCTCTATAGAGTGTTGTGTTTTCAGGACCACAGGTTGACATACAAGGTAACAGGAAAGAGATGGTGACTACATGCCCCCGTAAGTGACAGCAGTCATTCTCATAAACTAAGGACCTCTGTGTGCCTAACTCTGCCGTACCTGCCCCGGCTTGCTGAAATTGCACAATCGCTCTGCTAAGAAGGGATTATCTCTGTAATACAAAAGAAAAAACCCAGGCTCAGAGAGGTTGGGGAACACTGCTCAAGGTCAAATGGCTGGTCCCCGGGGAACCTGGGCTTGAGCCTACTTTTTCACGTCACCTCCCTAAGCACAGAACAAAACTGCACCCTTTGGTAGCTCCCTTCTGAAGAAGTTGTGGCTTTTGAGAGTTTTTTGAATTTGCGTCAGTTGGTGGCCCTGATGAAATGATGGGTATAGATCATGACAATCAAAAAGCTCAAATAACCACAATCTTTTTATGCCACAGATTGGCCACTATAGAGTAATGATAAATGGTATTTGTTGTTTTACAGTTTACCAAAATTGTTTTTTCATTTAAGCCTTACTACACATTGCTGTTTTGCACGGGGCTCGGAGAGGTCAATGACCTGCACAAAATGGCACAGCTAATAATGAAATGTGTGGGGCCAGGCCTGAGATCCAGCAGCTCTGACTGCACAGAGAGTGCAAAGTCCACCGGTTCTCTTGCTGTTGTCAAAATTTACACACAGCTGTCTTTTCTCTTAACGGTTTGATGCGTTTAAATGGATGCATTCAGTCATTCTCACTTCAACCAACCTCCGATGGTGCCGGGGAAACAAGAGCTTAATGTACATTTATAATATATCAGACACCCAGGAGAACCTTAGCTTGAAATGATCTTTTCTGGACATTTTTTGACCTTCAGGGGTCTTGATCCTGTTGCCCTATTCAAAGAGGCCATGTTTTTATTTATTTATTTATTTATTATATTTTTAAGAGACAAGTTATTGCTATGTTGCCCAGGCTGGAATATAGTGGTGCTATCACAGCTCACTGCAGCCTCGAACCCCTAGGCTCAAGCATTCCTCGTGCTTCAGCCTCCTGAGTAGCTAGAACTACAGGCAGGCACCACCACGCCTGGCTAATTTAAAATTTTTTTATAGTGGGGTCTCACTGTGTTGCTCAGGCTGGTCTTGAGCTTCTGGGGCTGGGGTCAAGGGATCCTCACACCTCAGCCTCCAAACTGCTGGGATTATGAGTGCGAGCCAGCACATCTGGCCAAAGAAGCTATGTTTGACCACGATTTAGGATCTTGTGCCAGGTAGGACAAAACTGTGCTTGCTGTTCACACTGGGAATCAGATAAGACAAGGCTACAAATCAACTTAGATTTTGAAAGACTGCAAAATTGCTCCCCATAGCTTTCAGATCCTTTCTTCATACTGCACACCCTGTGTGAATTGCATAAAATCATTTGAATGTTACTCCTACAGGATTTTTTTAAGTATAGGAAAAAAGTGAAGAATTGAAGGATTAAAAATGTTCATTCATTCATCCTTTCATTCATTTGCATAGGTACTAATAACAGGTTGTCCACATTTTCCTCTCTCATTCTCGAATGGATATATGTGGAGTTGCCAGAGGCCACGATATGCGGGCTGTCGCAGTGGAATGAGGCCAAAGCTGAGGCGGGGCTCCAGCCGCCTTCAGTTGAGCTAGACATTAGAGATTAGCAAATATGTAGAACAATGCCACTCTTCTTACTATTATTTTGCAAAGTATAATCATTTTTCATAAAAATATGTTGTTTATGGTCA